ACACTTTATAGTCTTATGGGAACAGGCCTACATGGAAAGAATGGTTTGGATCCAGAAACTGCTAAAACAATTCTAAATACTTATGTCATGCCTATTTTAACCTATGGCCTTAAAATTTTACTTCCAGCTGACGTATTTTGAATTCTATACATCAATTCCGTAAGAAAATGATAAAGCAAATACTATCATTAGCCAAGAATACAGCTGATCCAGTTGTATATATACTAAGTGGATCCCTTCCTATAGAGGCTGAATTACATCTAAAAACTATCTTTATTTGGGAATATTACAAGAGCGGATAAATCTACAATTGCATGGTGACTGCATGGCAGAAAGACAACTACAATTAAAAACCAACCGAAGTAATAGCTGGTTCATTGAAATCAAGAAAATGTCTGAAATATGATGTCATAGACTGCCAGGATTTTTTAAACAATCCTTTAGGAAAATCGCAGTGGAAAAACTTAACTACAAGAAAAAAACATACAAACTAGCTTGACAAAATAAATAAAGACTCTGAGGGATACTCCAGTCTAAAATGCATATCAGGAAAATATAAGATAAGGAGAATACATCCAATCCTAACAACAAATACCTTAAACAGAAGAGACATCATCAAATTACCAACCAGGAACAGAATTGCAATTGGCAATTACATCTTGCAGACAAATAAAACTAAATTTAATAAAAATGAGGTACCTACCACCTGAAGACCCTGCTGCAAAGAGGACGGAACTATTTCACATTTTCTGATCTCATGTACAGCATTTGAACCTGAAAGTCTCTCTTCTGAAAACTTTATGAGAACAGTATATCAAAGTGCTAGAACTACTTAAAATGAATATAGATGTAGACTTTATCCATGTAATTATCAACCCATACCACTTTGTGAACTACTGTGATTACTCTCTAACCAGGGAACTATATATTTTTATTAACACCAATACAGAGCCTGCTTGTAGAACTTTAATATATAAGCTCCATGTACATAGATACAAACTTTTACATTAAGGTTAGAAAAGATCTAGAAAAACTAATTTAAGTTAAAGTTTAACTTATATAATGGTTCTTTGTGGACTGCAAAACTCTCGCTATTTATAGACTTATTTTGATTTTATAAATATAAATGTGTGTGATATTGGTGTAGGGATATACTGACAATTGTACATAGTGTACATCGTAATATATCATTCTATTGGTGATTGGATACTAGTACTTTAAACTTATAACATTCTACTGGTGAACGGAAATTGTTGACTTCATACTGAAGGTGTGCCTATATTGGCAGAAAATATAGATACCCTGATGTCAACTTTGGCACTGCTCCTTTCTACTTGTATGAAGTAACTGGGGGACCATTCAAAATTATTTGTCGACACTAAAATTGGACTTTTAAAAGAACTTTTATCAGACCTTAGAGATTGAAAATGTTTACCGAACAAAGAGTTAGACATTGTAGCTTTGTCACTCGGACTGCATTATTTTTTTGTCAATCGGGTCCAACGATTTTCAACAACTCTTCTTTCATCACATAACCAATGTCTTGACCTTAGAATTTTCCCGTCCAGTGCCAGTTATGAATAATAAAACAGAATAGTGTTATACACATAGGAAATTGAAGTTCTCGCGTTAAGTGATCAATGAATGGGTGTAACATTTTTCAAGGACGTTACTTCTGAGACTGCAATAATGCACAAAGTGAAATAAATCCTTGAAATTTACTTTTCATCTTCAAGTTAAAATTACCACCAAACAATATTTAAGCACCTATTGCCATTTGACAAATATAAACGTGTAAATAGAAAGTTTCGGCAATGAAATATTTCAAACAATTGTTCTTTAACATCCTCATCAAAAGCACAGAAGATAAAACTCAATGCAAGACTTTCAATTGAGCACTATTTTCTATGTGCCACATCATTTATTTTGGGTTGTTCAAAAATCATCTATGGTAATTTTTGACATATTTTTTGTTTTCGAGAATTCAAAGCATGAAAACAATGTCCAATTAGTTATAACATACTAGAACTCTAAATAAAGGCAATGGCACCTATTTCAGTATTCCCAAGGAAAAAAGCAAATATGGTATGCTAAAAGGGCAGCTTAACTGCCCAAACATGGTAAAATTTGTTAATTAAGGGAAATAACTCCTATAAGAAGTCGTCCATCAGTTTTAACGTATATGGACAATTGGTAGATCGCAACATTCTGAACATTTGCGCTCTCGTCAGATTTTCCTTATCTTTAACAGTTTGCAAAATAATAGACAAAACTTGCGTTTTACCCTTATGTTCTATTTTTAGCCATGTCGGCCATTTGGTTGTCAGGCAGGGTCATCAGACACATTTTTTTTTAACTAAATACCCCAATGATGATAGTGGTCAAGTTTGGTTAAATTTGGACCTGTAGTTTAAGATAAGATTTTTGTAAAAGTCAACGATGACGTACGCCAAGTGATGAGAAATACTTACTTGGCCCTTTGGGCCAGGTGAACTAAAAAGAGATTTTAGTCATGATCTATAGTCTAGACTACAATATTGGAGTGTCTTTTGATGAATAAATACATAGACCAAGGTGAGAAATACTGGCTCTATAGAGCCTCTAGTTTTATAATACAAAGGAGGGCCATTATAGAATTATAGACGTACAATCAGTCCAATTAAAGCAACTAATAGGTTTCCCTCCCTACATCAAAAATGCCCATGCCAAATGGCAGGCTTGATTGTTTGACACATATTTGGAAATTAACATCTTAACGGTGTTTCATTGCACATAGCTACTAGGCACTAATTACCAAGACTCTGCAAAGACTCGCAAAGAGGCTCCCTGCCACATCTGGTTTAAACAAGACTGCATTTGCTGTTGTTCTGAGAATGTTTCCACTTATAATGATATGCACATGATTAAATTGAAACAAGTAGAATTGTGAAGAATTTTGGACCCTTTTGACCTCAATATGAACCAATTTGATAGCGGGGCCTACAAATAAAAAATCTAAATACATGGTTAGATTCAGCATATCAAAGAACCTCATATATTCAATTTTTGTTGAAATCAAACAAAGTTTAATTTTGGACCCCAATTTGGTCCAACTTGAAAACTGGGCCCATAATCAAAAATCTAAATACATGTTTAGATTCAGCATATCAAAGAACCCCATATATTCAATTTTTGTTGAAATCAAACAAAGTTTAAATACTGCGACTCTTTTCACAAAAAATCTTAAGAGTAAAAATACTCGTAAGTCATACACATTTCAGTATAACTTACGATCAATTTTAATCGTAAGTTATTTTGTGAAAAGAGTCGCTGGACCCTATCTTGGACCAACTTGAAAACTGGGCCCATAATCAAAAATCTAAACACATGTTTAGATTCAGCATATCAAAGAACCCCAAGAATTCAATTTTTGTTAAAATCAAACTAAGTTTAATTTTGGACTCTTTGGACCTTAATGTAGACCAATTTAAAAAACAGGACCCAAAATTAAAAATCTAAATACACGGTTAGATTTGGAATATCAAAGAACCCCAATAATTCAATTTTTGATGAAATCAAACAAAGTTTAATTTTGGACCCTTTTGACCTCAATATGAACCAATTTGATAACGGGGTCAACAAATAAAAAATCTAAATACATGGTTAGATTCAGCATATCAAAGAACCCCATATATTCAATTTTTGTAGAAATCAAACAAAAGTTTAATTTTGGACCCCAGTTTGGACCAACTTGAAAACTGGGCCAAAAATCAAAAATCTAAATACATGTTTAGATTCAGCATATCAAAGAACCTCATATATTCAATTTTTGCTAAAATCAAACAAAGTTTAATTTTGGACCCTTTGGACCTTAATGTAGACCAATTTGAAAACTGGACCCAAAATTAAAAATGTAAATACACTGTTAGATTCGGCATAACAAATTAATAAATGTGATCAAAGATTTTACAAATCTAATGCGCCATACTGTGCAATTAAAGATTACTTCTTGAAATTTTTCAATATTTGAAATTTGAAAAAAAAAAATATTTGAAGAATAATTCTTTTTAATTTCTGAAATCTGAAATGAGAAAAAATTGACCCCCCACAATTTCTTTTTATCCCCTCCCCCCTTTTTTTCCCCAAAAAAATTCTTTCCCTCAAGATATGGTCATAACACAATTCAAATTTCCAATGGAGTTGGCAACCATAATTACCCATTTAAATTTACCATAGTGCTAACTTAATCTATTTTATAATAGAATTAATAAAAATATAGTGTCAAATCTTTCATATGGATTTTTTTGTAAAAAAAAAAGATGCAACATTTGCAGATATTTTTACTGGTCTTCCTTTATAAATATGCATATCTTTAAACATAATTTAAAAGCAGTGTAAGGGAAGTAACCAAAACGTTGTATTTGGATTACCTCCCTTACACTGTTTTAAATTATCTTTATTGTTCATTAACCATTACTTTATACATAATTTAAAAGCAGTGTAAGGGAGATAATTTCAATGATGTATCTGATTTATCTCCCTTACACTGCTTTAAATTATGTTTTGTACTAAAGTATTTGTCCATTAACCAGGACAACCTTGTTTTTGCCCCTAATTCCTAAAAGGTTTGAGCCATAACCCCCCAAAGCAAATCCTAACCATCCCTTTGTGGTATGGAAACTTGTAGTATAATTTCAGAGAGATCCATACACCGTTCCACAGTTATTGTCTGGAAACTAGAAAATGCTTATTTTTGGCCCCTAATTCCTTAACTGTTGGTACCATAACCCCCAAAATCAATCCCAACCTTCCTTTTGTGGTATTTAACCTTATGGTCAAATTTCAAAAAGATCCATTCACTTAAACTAAAGTTAGAGTGCGAAAACCAATGTGTCTTCGGACGCCGACGCCGGACGACGCCGACGACGAAGACGCCGACGCCAACGTCATACCAATATACGACCACAAAATTTTTTTGCGGTCGTATAAAAACTACATAAACAAATTATATACAACATGCATAGATGTAAATAAAATCTTTGTTTTATTGCACATATTTATTTAAGTTATAACCGATAAGTTTTATAGGAAAATTCATGCGCAAAACACAACTAAAGATTAGAATTTCCTCAGACCATAATAGCTTTCTATGAGAGGTTTTAATCTTAATGCAGTCTCTATGTAAGAAAAGGTAAAAAGAGCTTTAAAAAAGGTGAACTTTTAAAGACTATGAAACTCATTTACATTTTGCAGACCATAGTCATGAATAATCATTAAAGCCACTTTTATTTGTTTTCACTCGGAAAAATAACTCTAAATAGTTCTAAATCATGGACAAAATTTGTTGCTTACTTGAAACGATATCTTTCATTAAGTTGGTAAACAAATCACTTTATACAAAAAGTTTATGATAGCACCATGCATCACAAGTGATAACAGTTTTCACTGCAAGTTAAATGTTACATTGTGATTTAAATAGTATGATAATCATGACAAAGTAAATGTTACATAGTGATTTAAATAGTATGATAATCATGACAAAGTAAATGTTACATAGTGATTTAAATAGTATGATAATCATGACAAAGTAAATGTTACATAGTGATTTAAATAGTATGATAATCATGAGACATTCAGGAAATGTTTGATAGGAAACACCTCAGATTGTGAAAGTTAGGACTATAAATACAAAAATGTGTAAAAATAATTTAATTAACACATGATATCTTGATTAAAATATAAGCCATGCTGATATAGAAATGAACCAAACATTAATTCTAAACTAAAATAAAAATGTCAATCAGTATAGAATAAGATATTGATTCTTCTTGTAAACTAATGGGAAATAATGCCCTATCTTGAATATTTATTCTTGTGAAGTGAGTCTCATATGTCTATTAGATTTATTTTAGCTCTCCAAAGTAGTTTGTAAGATAAAAACATATGAAATTAAAATCTGTTTTGCAATACTGGTAATTATTTAAATTTATCATGTTGTATTTACAACAGACAACACAAGAGAGTATCAGCTGGTTATCTCCCTTAGTAATATATAATCTATCTTAAACCTAATGAAAATTAATTAGCACATGGCTAAAGAAAACAGAATACTTAACTTGTAATCATTTTTCAGTACAAAACTTTAAAAAAAAAATTACAGTACTATTCACAAAGAAATTGGTCCTAATTAAACAGTTGTAAAATCATTAAATAACTTATGGACAATGAAAGACTATGGTTTCTGAAGTATTTAAAACATATAAAGTCTCTACAATAATAACCGAACACTATCACTGTATATTAAAAAAAACTTTGCTAAATATCTGCCTTACAGGTACTCCTAAAACATTCCAGTGGAGTTAAAAGAGTCCACCCATCATACCACCATATTCCTCTTCTTCTTCTTCATATTCATCCTGATCCATAATAACATAGGCAGGTCTGTTTTCTTTTGGTCTAGCTTTTTTATCCTCGTCTAATAGTCCATACAGCTGGCGTATATTTGCTCTCTGATCAGTAATTATATCTGGTGATAATACTCCACCTTCCACAGACTTCTCGTCACTCTGAAAGTAATATTATTATCTACATTATATGTATATATATATATTCATTTTTTTAAACTGCAACTGTGCTACTTGTGCATTAAAATTGCATTGACAGTCACTGACAGTATAATAACCTTATTTGTGACATTGATAATGTGTTTCCATAGAGTTTTATTTATGACATCAATAAAGAATACAGGTTCGCTGAATTTTTATGTCATCTGCTTCAAATTCAAAATTTTATGGTTTTTACCCAAAATATTTAATTTTAAACCATTGTAAGAGTTTCAGTATAGAGAGGACAACAATATATTGTCACGAAATATATATTTGAAATTACAAGAAAAAAAAATCCAGAGCAAGTCCATGTTAAAATGGCATTAGCTACGAGATTTGATTTTTTTTATTGAAATATGATTTTTTTTGTTCAGTCATTAATTAAAGTGAAATAATCATTCGCCGTTAGCAGCCAGTTTAGTTCAATTTTGTCAAAATAAGCTGAGAAACATCGCTGATGAATTATTCACTTGCAAGTGAATAATTTGACCTCATTGAATCCGTATTCATGTGACCTTCAATTTAACCCCTTAGCTAGAGATTGGTTAAGCATGTATTAGGCGTGTTCAGTTATTAAAAGGAAAAGAATGTCAACATTGAAAGTGAAACAAAGTTGAACCATTTCATTGACTGATTCAATCCACAAAAAATCATTCTTATACAGGTAAAATCGATGATTAACATATATTTTTAACCCATAACATGAAATCAAACAGACCGTGAAAAATACAATTGCACATGGTTACAGTCTATTTATATTTATGTTTATGTTTATATCGGGTTATGTGACCGTCAGCAGTCTTCAGAGGTCATTCGATGCTTAATTAGATGGTGACTAACCTTAAATACACACAAAATGTTGATATATATTATCGAGTCCATGCTTTATTAACTGTTTATTTCAGACTTATTGTAATTTAGATATATGTTAGTCAACTTCAGTCAACATTAATTTGACAGCTAATGCCACTTTAAAGAATATTAAAGGGGACATTATGATTTCTATCAATATTTACATATAGTGGAGTATTATTTGATTTATCAACCAAAGCAAAATTATAAACAGAGGCTAACAGAGGAGGGTAGCATTAATATTCTAAGATTGATAAACATTGTATCTACCAAATTTAAGGTCATTAATGATCAAATGGTATGCTATTGTTTTTCATTGGTATTCTAATGTCACAGAGCAAACTTGATGCTTCATCTTTCACAAGATTATCAAACTGAATATTTGCTGTGTGTGGCTAAAGTCTTAAGTATTCTCTGAACATATCATTGTAATCAATGTAAATCAATAGAACAAATGTAACAATTACAACTGATATGCAATAATCATTTTACCAGTTTTACAGTTTCTTTCTGTATGGTGAGAGCATAAGGTTTAAATTCTTGATCAGTTTCTCTACATTTCATAGTAACACCCTGTTGCTGAAGGACTTGACTACACACTGGGTGTTCAAATCTCTCCTACAAATACAAAATAAATCTTAAAATGCAGTTACTCTTATAAATGGAAAAGTGTGCATGAGGAATGGAATATTGTCATTTAAAAAAAAATTGTCTAAAACTTAAAATGTTATTTTTAAACAATTTGAAATACCTGTACTCGGAAAAGTTCCTTAAGTGAATTTTTTTACAGACATTTATTTCAAACAATCCACGATTCAGGAAAATATTACTGTTTGGGAAACCTTTGGTTACAGTAGAATAAACTTCTTTTTATATAGCTAACAAATCTATAAAGATTTAAAACCACACACATAACATTTCTGCACTCCTTTTAAGAACAATTCTTTAATAGATTTTTATATAAATAGATGATACCTCTTATACCAAAATAAACTATAAACGTAGATATATGCAAAACTTACACCACATAACTGTAAAATAGTTTTTACTGTAGAAGACATTTGAACAGCATGCTTGGCTCTAGTTACAGCTACATAAAGAAGGTTGCCTTCATCCATATTAATTTCTCCTGGAAAAAATGGAAACATCATTTCCTTGAAAATATTCATTGAATTAAGTGACATACAAAAAAAAAACAAATTTTGTTAAAAAAGTTTGGTATAAAATGTTTAATAAACATCTGCGCCATGAGCGCATGATACGCCCGTCGTCTTGTGTGTGAATTTTTATGCAATAAGCATAAATAGTTTCTGACATACGGCGTGACATGCAAAAACCCCCTTTTTTTTTAACAAAAAACTCAATATCTCTAAAATAAAATTTTGAATCAAAACCAAAAAGTACACAGATCTTTAAATTAATATAACTAAGAAGTGTGTAAAATTTTAAGCAATAACCATAAATCGTTTTTGAGATACGGCGCGACATGTGAAAACCCCCCTTTTAAAAAAAAAAAAATCAATATCTCAAAAATAAAATTTTGAATCAAAACCAAAAAGTATACAGATCTTTAGATTAATATAACTAAGAAGTGTGTAAAATTTTAAGCAATAATCATAAATCGTTTTTGAGATACGGCACGACATGTGAAAAACCCCTCCCCCTTTTTTTACAAAATACTCAATAACTCAAAAATAAAATTTTGAATCATCACCAAAAAGTATACAGATCTTAAGGTTAATATAACTAAGAAGTGTGTAAAGTTTTAAGCAATAATCATAAACTGTTTTTGAGATACGGCTCGACATGTGAAAAACCCCTCCCCCTTTTTTAACAAAATACTCAATATCTCTAAAATAAAGTTTTGAATCATCACCAAAAAGTAAACAGATCTTAAGATTAATATAACTAAGAAGTGTGTAAAGTTTTAAGCAATAATTATAAATTGTTTTTGAGATACGGCACGACATGTGAAAAAAAACACACACCTGTTTTAGTTACTAAGTCCCGTAACTCAAAAAGTTTTAATCTTATTTTCACCAAAAAGTATACAGATCGTTTGACCATCATAAGAAACAACTATATTAAGTTTCATGAAATTTGGATAAGTCATTCTCAAGTCACGGTGCGACATGTTTACGCCGGACAGACAGATGGACAGACGGACAGACAGACGGACGGACACCGGACATTTGTATACCATAATACGTCCCGTCAAAAATTGACGGGCGTATGAAAATGGATGTTGGATCTCTTAATATCATCCATGATTAAGGTAGATTAAACATTCTGCTTATATCTCGTTTGTCTTTCTTTCATTTTTCTTGCAAGTTGACAAATAAAATTTCTTGATTCATTCCTGGAAATTAACTGATAAAAAAAATAAATAGGCACAGCATGAATCTGTATTCATCTTTTTGCACTAGGTACTCATTATACTTGTAAACTAAAGCCTTTTCCCATTTATACTCTTCTTTGTTTCTTTCTGTCAATAATCAATTAATGAAATAGGAAATAGGTATCTAGTTATACAGTCTACCAGTAAGCTCCATATACCATATAGTACTTGCTTACTTCTATAAGATAATAATTACAATAAGGAACTGAACACTGCTAGGCTCACCTGTAAGTGTTTGTTTTAAGCTTACTATGGTACAGTTGAAATTAAGCACAGTCAGCCTATGCCAATTTTGCTTTTGGAAGATGATATTTGTTAATGTTATCAACAACTAAAATATAGAATCAATAACAATAAATTATTATTTTTACCAGCTTTTTGCAAGTAGCTTCCTCTAAAACTGGTAACATGATTGGGTCCAAAGTTTTTGGTAGAGTGAAATATACTATAAATTAAGCATTGAGTGTACTGATTACATACCGGCATAAGAAGGCATAGACAGTGCTATAAATAAATATTGTGTGGTTTATCTATTTACTAAATAGGTACTTGGATAAAAGGCAAAGCCTGTGTTATAAATTATACACTGAGTGGTTTATTTATTAACTGATTACGTACTTGCATTAGCAGGCATAGCCTGTGCTATTTCTGGTACATGCCTAAACAACATCTGTAGGATAGGATTAACACCATAATCATCTGTAACTCTGACTGTACTAAACTCTAATCCCTTGGCCTTGTGAGCAGTCGACAATATAAAATCTGAAAAGAATATACATTTTTTTTGTTTCTTAGTGGAAATTCACCAAAGGTTTTCAGAGAAATGCAATAAATAATTGTACTGTTTTATACCATAAAATGTTTAAAATTTAAAGAAGGCTGAATTATGATCCATTTTGCACATAGTATCTAGTAATGAAGTTTCTTTGTGAACATCCTAATTCTTCATTTAATTTATTTTTATAAATTATTTTAGGTAAATATTTCCAAAACTCTTGCACACAAGTTTCATTGTGAAAGTTGAGATGTTACAATACATTCAGAGATGTAGAGAATACTGGTATAAAGTCATAAAAGAATGCAGGTTGCTTCAAATTTCACACTTGCTGATTATACCCGAAGTATTTCATTTGGAACAGTTTCAAGAGTTGCTGTATAAAAAGATGAACCACACATTGTCTCAAAAAATAAATTGATCTGTACTTGGCTTGAAACAGGATAGAAAAGCTAGACAGAACCTTGTTCTTTCCTCATTTCTAAACTTTTTACAAATATTTTATTTTTATTCTAATACAATGTGTATTTATTTTACATCTGAATGGGTGTGTTCAACTATATAAATGTTTAAAGTTTTTTACTATAAGGACTGGTAACAGTTTTTATTAGTAATATATCATTTCATTACATAGATCAGCAAGTAAGAAACCTTCAATTAATCTTTCAAAATTGTATATCTGTATCATGCTGGTGGCTATTTTAATTCATAATATTTGGATCCAAAAATTGCAAAGAATCGTCATTTTCTCTGAAATCACATGCAATACTTCATGTCGATAAAATAAAAAGCATAAGGTTTTCAAAATAGCATTTATGATTTTTCTGTTATAGCTTTACTTTCTTGGCAAATTTTAACAGCAATTGATACAGATTTGAAAGAATTGACATACTCCTTAAGTCTAAATGAATGAATGGAATTATTTTTCTTATTATCTATACGACACATAAAGTCCTCACACAACCCTTGTCTTACCTGCAGCATTGAGATCCCTCACATATCTACTGAAAATTTAGTTGCTTCCATACAACTCTTGTCTTACCTGCAGCCTTGAGATCCCTCACACATCTACTGAGAATTTAGTTGCTTCCATACAACCCTTGTCTTACCTGCAGCCTTGAGATCCCTCACACATCTACTGAGAATTTAGTTGCTTCCATACAACCCTTGTCTTACCTGCAGCCTTGAGATCCCTCACACATCTACTGAGAATTTTGCTGATATAACTAGGAAGACAGTGATGATGAGTTCTAACAATTTTAATCTTTCCCAATAGTTCAGTGTCTTGGGTTTTGTTGGCATACTTCTCCAATTCTCCCATATTGTGAAATTTCTGTATAAATTTGTCCTCAACAACTCTATTTTCTGAAAGTGTATATAAATGCCAAAATTTGTTAGAGTTTAGCAGTAACTGTTTGAAATGACAGCATAAGTGTTGAAACCAAATTGCACAGGTCTTTATATGTAAAGATCACTTGAATCATGCTATTTTTCAAATCTGAACCCCTGACCCAAGCACTTAAACTAAAGAAGATTTGATATAAATATTTAATTCACATTTGGCAGGAAATTTTGTAGATCATGCAATATATTATTACTAGTATTAGATAACTATTTCTTCCTTGAGCTTATAAAAATTATACATAAGAATGACAAATATACATATTATTCTTATATTTAAGTGGGAAATATTAACCAAATAAAATCAAACATCAAAATTAAAATGTTGTAAGTGAGAAATTTTTCTGCTACACAATTGACATTACATTCTATTTTTAAAATTTCTAAGAACTAAATAGTATTTCTAACAAAAGTTTTGTATATTGAATTATAATAAGCAATCTGTAGCATCATACAATAAATTCAGAGATTTCTGCTTGCATTAATGATAGCAACTGTTGAACAATGGGCAAAATGTGAGATCAATTATTACAATTTGAGGAAATGCTGCATACAAGTAATGCTATCAACAATTCAAAATACAACTTTTAATTTTTGTGAAACCTATCCTGTTGCATTTTCGCAATAGAATAAATTTCTGAATTTACAGTACACTGAAAATGCTAGTTAACTTGGATGTGACAGTAACAGATCTTTACTGATATCCAATTTATTGTGATACCTTTTTCTCTTTGTTCAGGTGACATCATCAGAGTATATATATCTAGTAATTTTGGAAATCCAAAACCCTCAGTTCCCTATAAAAACAATTGCAATACAATTAACATTAAATACAATACATGTTAGCTATAATAAAGATGTAAATACCTTTAGCTTATTCAAAAAAGTTATCATGATTATTTTTATTCTCCTAAAGCAATGTCATTTAAATGTTGATTTTTCTTGGATATTTGGTTTAGGCATTAAATATACTGAATTAGGCCATGTATTGTCCCCAGTCTTTTACTCCAAAAGTAAATTTACCAGTCCCAAAGGGTGTGGATTATATAGTACTATGAGAAAGAAATAAGAGAAAATGGATTTTGCAATGTTTGTTTACATTCGGCTCTGTTTGTTCTTGAATTTGTACACAGTTACTTATTTGTTTTTAAATAATAATATAATTTATCTTATTCATATTAATATGCAATTTTAATTTAAAAATCAAATATTAATAGAAAAATTTGTAAGGGTTCTGCGGAACCCAGTGTCTCGCCTACTTTTCTGTCAATCGCAGGCTCAACAAAAATGAGGTAGCAAATCAATAAAAATATTCCTCTTGATACTATCTTCTGATTGTAAGAAGCTTCTGTCCAAGTTTGGTAAAAATCCAGGAGAGTTTATGAATCTAATAATGTTTAAAAACTTTAACTGCAGACTGAATGTAATGTTAACTGGAAGAAAACAAAATTTCCTTCTAGATACTAGCATTTGATCATTAACAAGCTTCTGTAAAAGTTAGGTTCAAATCCAAAATAGTATAAGAAAGTTATTAAAATTTTAAAAACTTTAACCACAGAGTGAATATGTTGTTTCCTGGCAGAAAATCTAAGTCCATTTAAAAGTAAAATACAGAAAAAATGGATTCATTTTTTTACAAAATTTCCTTCTAGATACTAGCTCTTGATCATAAGCAAGCTTCTGTCCAAGTTTGGTACAAATCCAAAATAGTATAAGAAAGTTATTAAAATTTTAAAAACTTTAACCACAGAGTAAATATGTTGTTTCCTGGCAGAAAATCTAAGTCCATTTAAAAGTAAAATAAGGAAAAAATGGATTTATTTTTTTACAAAATTTACTTCTAGATACTATCTTATGATCATAAACAAGCTTCTGTCCAAGTTTGGTACAAACCCAGGATAGTTTAAGAAAGTTATTAAAATTTTAAAAACTTTAACCACAGAGTGAATGTAAATTCCCAGCGGAAAAACTAAGTCCATTTATAAGTAAAATACAGAAAAAATGGAATTTTATTTTTACAAAATTTACTTCTGGATACTATCTTATGATCATAAACAAGCTTCTGTCCAAGTTTGGTAAAAATCCAGGATAGTTTAAGAAAGTTATTAAAATTTCAAAAACTTTAACCACAGAGTGAATATTTGTGGATGCCGCCGACGACGACGGAATGTAGGATCGCTATGTCTCGCTTTTTCGACTTAAGTCGAAGGCTCGACAAAAATATCAAAATTAAATGCTTAATTAAAATTTTCTCTTTTCTTTTTTTTTATATGCATTGCATAACAATGTATTTACCACAAAGAATAATCTGTTATTCATTCAGCTTTGGTGTTTTGGACTGCTGTTTGTGTTCAGCACACTCTCACTGTATTTGATGGTGATTGAATTTTTTTTTTCAATTTGGCTCATTGTAACACTTGTAAAATGATCTAAAATCATTACAACTTCTACTTGATGGTGTTTTTTTTGGTGATCACAAACGATCAAACACAACTTAAAATTACCAGTTTCCCTAGACGTATATTCAACAAGTGACAAAAATATTTTTTTCTGAATTCCCTTGGCAATAAAGTGTGTACATATTATGTACCAATACCGACTCTACACTGCCAATTACGGTAAACTTTATTTTTTTAAATATCATCAAATTAACAGATTTTTTTTCAGCTGAATATAAACTTGAGTCGTGGCATTGCAGATATATATTTCATAAAAATCAGACAATATATAAGGCAGGAGAGAGCTTAAATGACAGGAGGGACTGACTGATTTTGTTGGGAAGAAAAAGAGTTAGCATTAGGTCTTAAATCTATAAGATAACCAAATCTATATTTACCCCTACAAATCCTATTTTAATATTGTCTTGGTCTATAAAACAGCATTTCTTGACAGCTTCATTAAACACAGTATAATTACTTCTACAGATGATGGCTACCTGGCCAACTGTTTTACCTGTTATTTCACCTGAAATCGTCAATGAACATAAGAATAACATGTTATACCTTGATATATCAGTTTATTTCTATCTTAATTTTTACTTAATTTCAACTATTTTCATTTGGGTTTTATCATATTTTTTCTTAATGATCATACATTCATTCTTTTAGTAGGTTTTTAATTTTATAATTTTTTTTCTTTTCAAGTATTATAGTGTTCATCTAAGGACCAACCTGATTACTGCAAAACAACCACATGAATTTAACTTAAAGTTCATTAGGATCACACATATGCACTCTTCTCATAAAGTACTATTAATATATGTCAGAGATTTGCTTGACCTAGTAAATTTTTAACTGCACTACAATTTCTGAACTATATTGAAGTACTCATTTACTTCCCTTTATAGACCAATAACTTCAATCCACTGTGGCACAGGCATATATTTAGAGGAAAATGACTTTATACTGTAACACACTCAATTGAAATTATGATGTGATCTAAACTTACATTTTTTTCCATTACCAACAAGTGTTTTCATTTTTTCCTCTTTCAATGTCTCTAGACAGCATGCAGCTATTTGTGCTATTTCTGGTCCAAATCTGAAAGACTAAAAACATATCTATAAGCAAAATACAATCATATGAATGAATTAGTGTAAATGTGCCTGTCCCGAATCAAGAGCCTCTTGTGGTTTCTGTTATTCTTTGATTTTTGATTGGCTCTTGGTTTCTCTTTTTTTACCACAATTTTTTATATTAAACAACAATTTTTTTTTTATGCAAATAACTACGGTCTTGCATTACTTTTACATGTATTTGGTTTCTTTCATATCCATAATATATCAAGGAGTACTTTGAGTCAGGAGGTTAAATATATGTTCTTGCTTTTATGAGAAAACAAAACCCAACTATATCTTTGAATGTAAATAAAAAAAACTTTAAAATTAGTCCAAATATACTATGTAGACAGCAGTTTGCAGAAGTGTTACATTGTTTGTGAAATTTTGTCTATTATTTTCATGTCAAAATCTTTCTCTCCAAGTATGGGTTACTTTATTGCTCTTAAAATATTATTTTTTCGTTACCTGTGTGAGGTAAAAGATAGTAGTAGCTGGCACACGACTCATTGCATTTACAGCTCCACGAAATGCATAAATCTGTTGATGTGGATCTCCTACTAAAATCTTAGCTTGTGGTTGGTTCAAAAGTATATCAGCAAGAGCTACAATTAAAATTTATATTGATTTGTCTATAAAAGTTTAAAATATTTCCATCTAATGTGAAAAAAATATTTTCATCCATGATTTTAAATTCTGGATATCAAATTATTTGATAGAAGAGTAGCCTATACGATTAATAAAATGACTGAACTTTTATTTTTCCTTAAAATTGCTGAATGAAATTTGTCTAAAAAAGATCTTAACATTGTTATACATTGGAAAATGTAGCAATTGTTCACAGACCTTTACCACTGTGTCCATAATTTAAAGTTTCTTTATATCTATGTTTCAATTCTATGAACTCTGCCAACACAAGTTAGCAATATCTGGAAGATTTGTTTGTACTTTTAAAAGAAAATTCAGTTTCGAAATATTTGAAAGAAAAAAATAATTAATGCATCTGCATAAAATATGAGTAAGATCTGTACTATAGTATACCTGGAGACATGTCTTGGGCTTCATCAATCAAAATGCAGTCATAATTATATAATTTTGGTTTGGACAGTTGATACACCTTAAGATAGCCATCATGAGTCATTCCTACCTCTTTACAATTGAAATCTAACATCTTGGTCCAAATTATCTCAGCATCTTTGGCATACAGCTGAAAAAATAAAAAAGATGGTTGCCTCATCAACATTTGCTACTAGATATCTAATACATCTTTGACACTTTAAATAAAATTAGAGCCGAATGGCTTGAACATTTTATTATTTGAAAGTATCGATTATGGCTGAATCAATATTACCATAAAACCTTAAGTTATAATCATTTAGTCCTTTAAAAAACTAAAATTGATTGGTTTGATGTGCAATCACAATTTGCTTTTTTCTTATATTACTTCATTTTAGAAGTCAAAAGTTTACACTTACATTTTTTTTCTCAGAATCTATATATGTCATTTGTCCATTGTCATCCATTCTTTTCTCTGGTACATGTTCATTTGTAATACAGGGGTCAGCTGAAGCTACAAATGTGTTCACTGTGTCCATCACAAATTTAGCTCTTATAAACAAGTTATCTCCCTTTCTGGGAGGAAGAGCCTGGGTTATTTCATAAACTTTCAGATTCCTCAACTTCTTGGCAGCTATATATCTAAAAAATATTTTGAATATTATTATATATCTGACTCAATAGAATGAAACTATTAGAGGGGTTTAATATATGTATTTCACAGACAGGGAAATATAGTATCAGACTTTATGCCCATCAAAAATCTTAATAAAAGTGATATATTGTGTGCAAAAAAAATGAGAATTTCAATTAGTTTTCAGCAAAAACTGTAAATGAAATCTTGAAAGGCAATAAAAATAGAGAATATGCAGTTAATGTTTTTATTTTAGTCTAAAAGTTGTCAACAACTTATAAATGTGTCAACTTGATTGAACTGGTGAGCTTATATTGTGTTCTGGAAGATTACTTTCAAATAGAACAAATGATCAAGTCCCTCTGACTGAGAATAACATACAACATCAATATAAAAAACACTGCCTTTCTATTTTTAAGCATGATATTTTTTTTTATCTATTTACCTTCTACCTGTGTACTGAAATGCTAAACCATGACCTGTCTTACACACCACATTGCCTGGAAACTGTGTCTTAGCATACTCACTAATAGACCTATATAGAGAAAAAAATCAATAGTTTCTATTATCATCATATTGTTTTATCAATAGGTTATATCAGACTCAGTATACTATATAGAATCAGATAAATATAAATGAGATATCTATTTAATATCATATTCAACATACTCAGCAGGATTCTGCATAAAATTTAAAATCAATTTTTATTTTTAGCAAATATTAACTTCAAAATATTTTACGCTGGGCAAAATAAGAAATGAATATCTGTTACAAAACTGCTTTTAAATTTAGTTTGGATTAAAGGTCACATGCAACGATTTGTATTGGTAATTGAGCAAAACAATTTTACACTCTACGAGGAAGCACAGTTGCTTTTAACATTTAGTACATGTATATATTCCTTTGTGCACATCTGCAGCCTGTGTTCTACAACTGAGTTAAGTTTCATTAATATCAGTCTATCTGTTTAGGAGACTTATACCACATATTGTAATATTGAAGTAAGTAAATTCAATTATTTCCCCATTAACATGTAAGAAAAGGAATAAAATTCACTTATGCACTTATGCCCTAGGAAGTTTTCTACCAATTTGTGAAGTTTCATCAATATCAGTATAGCTGTTTAGGAGATTATATTCCTAAATGCACATCCCCAGATAGTACTCTGCCATTTTGTAAAGTTTTGTCAATATCAGTCTAAATGATTAGGATAAGTTGCACTAAGGGAGACTATTACTTCACCACTTATTGCAATATTGAAGTAAGAAAATTTGATTATCTCCCCTTTATCATGTTGACCGGGATTATATTCCTTAATACACATCCTCAAGTAGTCTAGAACTGTATAAATTTTCATCAATATCAGTCTAGCTGTTTTGGAGGTTAGGTTCCTCAACTGTGTAAAGTCTCAATATCCATCCACCTGTTTAGGATTGTGCTTTTTAGGTCCATGGACATACAGGGTGAGTCATATATGCCCCACCCCCACACAAAAACTTTGTATGCAGGGGTATAATAATCATATCAATGAAATAGTACACTTAACATACTAATGACTTACTTATTATAAACTACCAACAGGAATCTCATGCTTGGTCTCATCTTGGTGTATCTGACTATTGACTTACTTATTATAAACTACCAACAGGAATCTCATACTTGGTCTCATCTTAGTGTATCTGACTATTAACTTACTTATTATAAACTGCCAACAGGAATCTCATGCTTGGTCTCATCTTAGTGTATCTGACTATTGACTTACTTATTATAAACTACCAACAGGAATCTCATGCTTGGTCTCATCTTAGTGTATCTGACTATTGACTTACTTATTATAAACTACCAACAGGAATCTCATACTTGGTCTCATCTTAGTGTATCTGACTATTGACTTACTTATTATAAACTACCAACAGGAAACTCATACTTGGTCTCATCTTAGTGTATCTGACTATTGACTTACTTATTATAAACTACCAACAGGAATCTCATGCTTGGTCTCATCTTAGTGTATCTGACTAATGACTTACTTATTATAAACTACCAACAGGAATCTCATGCTTGGTCTCATCTTAGTGTATCTGACTAATGACTTACTTATTATAAACTGCCAACAGGATTCGCATGCTTGGTCTCATCTTAGTGTATCTGACTAATGACTTACTTATTATAAACTACCAACAGGAATCGCATGCTTGGTCTCATCTTAGTGTATCTGACTAATGTTGTAGTTTTACCAGTACCTATAAAACATGGAAGATTTATTATGCCACAGAAAAAAATATAACTTGCCTAATGAAATTGCAAAAAATGTTAAGTTCTCAAATCCTTTCAAAAATTATCTTAATGAGCAAGAGGACATACAAAGTAGTATGGGTATTTTTGTTCTTTTTGTAAAATGTGTCATTTTTACTCATCTATAATTCAATTGAAATATTACCTGCAAAGGCCACAATTTTGATAACTTCTCCTGGTTCTACATTATAGCTGACAATTCTGCTCTGTTCATGTGTCATTTTTACTGTACAATCTGAGCGACTGAAATAGAAATTTTGATTTCTTTCTTAAACCATACTAAATAGAACTGTTTTAAAGTAGACTTTATCTTATTTTTTTTTTATGAAGCAACAAGGTGTTAATTGTGTTATCAGATAAAATTCTGAATGACATTCTCAGAAGTAATTTGTTACATTATTTTCTATAAGATATTATGTAACACTATTTGAAGTAGTTAAAAGATTTTTTAAAATTTCAATGATTTTAAATCCTAACAGAGAAAATGTTCAAAAAGAGATAAAAACATTTGGTAATCTGGCAGAAATTTATCATTTCCATATATATGATACATACGAATATATGGAGATTGGGTATGATTTTCAATGAGACAATTGTCTATAGACCAAAGGACAAGAATGTAAACAAATACAGGTCATTGTATGGCCTTGAGCAATGAGTATAACTTAGTAACCTATAAAAGGGACCAAGATGAAACCTACATTTTGGTGTATTCCAAAATAGTAATGGCAAAACTCTAGAATAATTAAATGTGCTTATTGCAATTTTACATGTTAAACTCTTCTTCATATATTGTGATAAAATATCAATGAATTGTTTAATATATCATAGTTACTATAGAACATGCTAATTGCGCCCCTTTAATAGCAGACTTGTGTTTATACTGTTATGAATCACAGTTTATGACCAAACTCAGTAAAGACCCGTCCAAATTGCATTTAATTGATAAATTCAACAACACTTACTGTTATCTTGATGATATTTTTTCGTTAAATAATCAAGAATTTTCTAAATAAACTGCCGAAATTTACCCAAAGGAACTTACTTTAAATAAATCAAATGTAAACGGTAATAACTGTCCTTTCCTAGATTTAGATATTTCAGTTTTACACGGGAAACTCCACACTAAAATTTACGACAAATGGAACGATTTTTCGTTCCCTATTGTTAATTTTCCATTTTTGGATGGAGATGTTCCTTTGGCACTATCTTACAGTGTTTATATATCACAACTCGTTTGCTATGCCCGTGTCTGTTGTGACGCTTTGGATTTTAATGAACGTAATCTATGTATTACTGGTAAATGCTTAAGTCAGGGATTTCCTTACCACAAATTACTTAAAACCTTTACTAATTTCTTCAATAAATATAAAGATTTGGTTTTGAAGTTTGGTTGTACCTTTAGAAAACTTATTTCAAACGGGATAGCACATCCTCATTTTTACAGAGATGTTGTTTACTGTGCCTGGAAATTTAGAAACGATCCTGGTAAACTTATTGATCCTTTAAATAAACTTATTCTAAAAGGTTACCAATTCAACACTGTAATTAGATCTTTGAATATTGTTTTTATTGGTATCAATAATGATTTGGTTACAAGTAAATTAATAGCAAATTAAATATTATTGTTATATAGATATGCACATTCATGGCTCTACAATCTATCGATACCTGTATCTTGGCATTGCACAAGGTCATGTTTTTCTCTGACTGTTTATGACGTCTTTACACTAAATCCGTTGGATGTGTAATGATTGATTATTTAGTCTTAGATGCATGATTTTTTTTTATTAGTTGTTATTGGCTTTGAACTAGCTGTCAGTAACTGCCAGTACTCTCAGATCTGTACTTAGTGTCTTTTTGTTGTTGGGATGTACAAGTACCCAGCCATGTCCATTCCGTTTTTGTTAGATGTATTTCTATTTGTATCCATCTGATGAGTTAAACCTTTTTCAACTGATTTTTATAGTTCGTCCTTATGTTGTACTGTTACACCACTGTCCCAGGTTAGGGGAAGGGTCAGGATCCTGCTAACATGTTTAACCCTGCCACATTCTGTATGTATGTACCTGTCCCAAGTCAGGAGCCTGTAATTCAGTGGTTGTCGTTTGTTGCTGTGTTACATATTTGTTTTTCGTTCATTTTTTTGTACATAAATTAGGCTGTTAGTTTTCTGGTTTGAATTGTTTTACATTTGTCATTTCTGGGCCTTTTATAGCTGATTATGCAGTATGGGCTTTGCTTATTGTTGAAGGCTGTACAGTGACCTATAGTTGTTAATTTCTGTGTCATTTGTTCTCTTGTGAAGAGTTGTCTCATTGGCAATCATACCACATCTTCTTTTTAATATTAATCTAATAAATAACCTTGATGCTACCTATATACTATACACAAAGGCTATCTATAATGGTATGCAGAATCAAATTAAGAAAGTTGTCACCTCATGATACACCTTATAATAACATTAATTATAGTCTCATTAAAATAAAATCAATTGCAGCAACAGAAAATGAAAAAGCAATACCTGTATTTTAAAAGACTTTGTTGTCCAGATTTATTGGTAATAGCAGTTTGTAAATCACCAAGACTAGTGGCAGATGCATTCTCATACAAGTATAGAGCATAAAATAGCCTGTAATGCATTCTGAAAAACAGAAAAAAAGTCTCTTAGAATACTTGTATAAAACAAATATAAACTGGTAATTCTTATATATATAAATAGTCAAAATTATTGTATGTTAGTTTAGAATATAAGATGTTCACTCTTCAACCATTTAAAATATTAAAAGTACATTTATATTAGGAAATTTCATTCACTTATTCCTGTGTATGCTTCCCTTTTCAGAATATGATTCAAAAATCTAATGTATTGAAAAATAAATATCAATGATTTTAAAAGATCAAACTAATAATTTCCAAAAGGGTTTACAACAAGAGTGCACACGCTGAAATGTCTCGCCTTCATTACTAATCATTGATATTATGTTGATAGTCCTAAATATAAAGCTTTATTACAACTGTCACATAAACTTAACATTAACCAAGAAAAATAATCATTGACCAATGAACCATGAAAATGAGGTCAAGGTCAGATGAACCATGCCAGGCAGGCATGTACAGCTAACAATTCTTCAATACAACAAATATAGTTGACCTATTGCTTATAGTTTAACTCTTTATCTACCACTGAAGGATATATACGCGGTTTTTATCATCGTTCTGTCCACAGTGACTGATAAATCCACTTGCATAATCAAGTGTGTATTCGCAGTGACTGATAGATCCGCTTTAAACATACACTTCGCAGTCCTGGTGACGGATATTTCCGTAAAATATACCACTGTTTAAACCCTTTAGATTGGACAAAACTGTTGGGGAATCCCGAAATGAACCAATGAAATTCGGTTTTACAAATGAATAATCTTTCAACTTGTACATTCCTTTTCTATAAATTGTGTGTGTTTACATTTAATTATGATGAAATTTACACGTGTTCGGAATGCAATTAAAACAATGGCGGATGAACGGGCTTCTTTGTTCAAATCGGATAGCGAAAGTGAGGAATTTGAAGGATTTATGCAATTAGAAAGCAAAATTGGAAGTATAGGAAGGGATAGTTTAGTTTGTCGGAACAAGATTGCGAGTCTTCCGAGGATGAAGAAGCCAAACATGGACAAATACTTTGAAATTTTGTACGTCCATTTACGGCAGCTTTCAAGCTTGATAAGGAAAAGAAAGAAATTGATTTGGTATTTGTTTCATTTTTCAATTAATATACAATAAATACTGATTAATTAAATATTTAATTAGAGTACTCATAACCAAGGATCCGGAAATTTTCCCCAGTCATTTCAGTCATTTTTTTTTTTGTGATGTAATAATATCGTGATGCACAATAATGCATTTTTCTGAGGGTGACAAGTCTTGCACATGGACAAGTAAAGTCCTTTTTTGTGAGGTATTGGGTCAAACAAGTGTAACTGTACCTTGATCTAACAGTAACAGTGATGTCTCTGAGTTAGAAACTACACGAGGAGACGTTTTGTTGTTGTGTATTGCATCACTGAGGTCGTATGCATAACCCTTTAAATTTGCATAAATTAAAAGAGGAATAAAATACGGCATGTTTCATCATTTTGAAAAAAAGTTATGTAAACCAATTAATAAACTGTGTTGAGCTTCTTATTGCATGTACAAGATATCGTTTGTATTGTTCAAATTGCTGCTGTTTGGATGAGTGTAAGTGATTACCTAATACACAACAAGATAATGTGTATTCACCTGGTTTACGATATGAGGATCAAAAAGGGGAAACCATGAATTCTGTTGGTCTTTACAGAGAGAATGTATGGCTTCACTTGGGTAAAAATCGGAAGTTTAGCCAGGAAAACAAAAGAAAGGATAACGCCCATTACATTCTGTGAGTAAGATGGTTTCAAAAAATCGGAAGTGCAAAAAAAACAAAAAAAAATCGAGATTGTTCATTCGCTGAGTATATTTCATAAATAGGCTGTATGGCTTCAAATCTAAATTACGTTATTTAGTTTTAATTCCTTTTTTAAACATTTTTTTTTAATTCTGCATTCCTATAAATTATACGCTTTACCACTTTTGCAAATCTATTAATATCTTTATCTGCCATTTCCTACCGAAAAGTTAACAGTAAAATCGATCTTTCAAATAAGATTATCAATTAACCCATGTTGATCCCCATTTTCCATGCGCAAACTCAGTAAACATAAATCTATATTTAACAAACGTTGACCAAATCAGCTGATCGATTATAAATGGATTATATGTTTTATTTGGATAAAAATAGACAGATTCTCGGGTCAACAGTGTTATTTGTCTTCTTTAATGAATAAAATAATATCTGTTTGGGAAAATCTAGGTCAGAATGGTTAAAACGTTGAATTTGATGCACAGCAAATCGCCATATTGTTTTTATTGCTTAACAGGTGTTTACAGGTGAGATTTGTGTACATGGCCTTTATGGCTTTAATCAAGACAATAACGACACCCAAGCCGAATTCAAACTTCCTGGACATTGATTACTATCCTTACTATGTAAACAAACCTAGTGGCTTGAACCCAGACTTACCCCACGCTGTGACTCGACAGAGTCCTGTACATTGTTTTTACTTACATTATAGAATAAACAACAGACTAATGATAAATATTATTAAATCACTAACACAAATCAATAAAATTTTTATTTTGTCTCAAACAAATCTATTTTTCTTGATGACCTGAAAACAAAAATAAGTTCAAAATGGCGACCGATAAAACCCTGACCTCAATGAAATGACCGAAATTATTTCTGTAAAAAAAAAAAAAAGACCTAAATCCCAATAAATCATTTCGGTCTTTTCAGTTTCCAAATCGGTCATGTCTGGCATATATGACCGTTTCCGGACCCTTGCTCATAACACAGCCTTAACAATTTGTGAAAAATTCTCTCACTTCAAATTATCTCTGGTAGTTAACCTACAATTCAGCTGCAGTAGCTAACTAATCAGCAGTGTGTAGTAGTTAACTGTAAAGGTACCTGTGGTAGATAAGTTAAGAAAAACAGACCAAAACACAAAAACTTAACACTGAGCAATGAACTGTGAAAATGAGGTCAAGGTCAAATAAAACCTGCGCGACTGACATATAGATCATAAAATATTTCCATACACCAAATATAGTTGACCTATTGTATATTGTATTAGAAAAAAAGAACAAAACTCAAAATCTTAACTTTAACCACTGAACCATGAAAATGAGGTCAAGGTCAAATGACACCTGCCAGCTAGACATGTACACCTTACAATCATTCCATACACCAAATATAGTAGACCTATTGCATACAGTATAAGAAAAACAGACCAAAACACAAAAACTTAATTATAACCACTGAACCATGAAAATGAGGTCAAGGTCAGATGACACCTGCTAGTTGGACATGTACAACTTACAGTCCTTCCATACACCGAATATACTTGACCTATTGCTTATAGTATCTGAGATATGGACTTGACCACCAAAACTTAACCTTGTTCACTGATCCATGAAATGAGGTCGAGGTCAAGTGAAAACTGTCTGACGGGCATGAGGACCTTGCATGGTACGCACATACCAAATAGAGTTATCCTACTACTTATAATAAGAGATAATTGAACATTACAAAAAATGTTAACTTTATTTTCAAGTAGTCACCGAAACAATGAAAATGAGGTCAAGGACATTGGACATGTGACTGAGGGAAACTTCGTAACATGAGGCATCAATATACAAAGTATGAAGCATCCACGTCTTCCACCTTCTAAAATATAAAGCTTTTAAGAAGTAAGCTAACGCCGCCGCCACCGCCCGATCACTATCCCTATGTTGAGCTTTCTGCGACAAAAGTCGCAGGCTCGACAAAATAGACATTTAAATCTGTATCTATTGTCTGTAAAAAGTTAACAACCAATGACATATCAACTGTGATGGCATTAGCTCATTGTAGCACTGATCACAGGAGCAATATGAGCTAAAAAGTCCTTGTCAAAAATTTAATGGGTCCATAAAAATACAACAAACATTTTAAATAAAGCAGAATTTCAAATGTTTAATTTTTGAATCCAGCCTTGCCGGTTGATCTCAAAAATGTAAATACATGCATGGAAAGGGCTGTTTCACCCTGGTCAAGAATTCTGAAATTCTGAAATTTGTTTATACTTTCTTTTTATGCATGAATACATAGGTTTCAACTTTCAAACATCCAAATTGGAAGATCAGCCTCTTGGAAAAATTTACTTGAGGAAGATAAGTTGTAGAAACAATTCCATGTTGATTTTCATAATATTTTTATAATAAGTATTCAATCGGTAACTAGCTAAACAATTTCAAGTTAAGACACTCTGCAGTGTGTAAAAACACGAAGGTTTGACAATAATTTGTACATTTTTTCGTATTGACAACTACTTATAAATGAAATAATGTTGAAATATTAAAGGAGCTTTTTCTCCAAAAAGGATTTTCATATTTCTGTAAAAATGTTTGAAAGTTTCCACTGATGTCCATAAAGTAGACACCTATAATAAACATTTTCATTATTTAAATGCTGCATGGATTCATTCTGATCCGCTTTATTCACACTTATGTTTATACATTTTGAGAATACATCATGATAAATTCTTATAAATCAGCAAACAAAAACAAACACAAAAAATCTCATAAAATAGAGAACAAACCCATTCCACACATCATCACTTTTCATCATCTTGAAGGCATACAGGAATGTAGCAATACAGTAGAGACATTCCAATAGCTCTATAGAGGTACACTGAGAGATAGGTACCAGTAAACACTGAATTATCTCCTGTATGTCATATACAGTTTGTGATATAATGACTAGGACAGTGATACAGCACCAAGGGTTTGGTTCCTGCAAGATAAATGTCACATCTTTAAGTTTGTTTAAATGCTAACAAGTGTTTGTTTAAATTGAGATTATATTTCTCAAAATTATTCATTTGAGGGTGATATTTCTGAAATGTATCAATGACTGACATACAATTTGAAAAGAATTTTGGTCATATCAAACTCAATTATTTTATGTATTCATGCTTTAATTTCTTATCAGAATGATTGTTCAACATCTGCAGTTTTAAATTTATAATAATTGTACAGGAGGATTCTGATATTGGACTTTGTGTCTCTACTTCTTTATATTATTTGTGTGTATGATCTATGGTTGTTTTGTTATATGTAAAAGACCTGAATTTTATAATCAAAACCTATATAAAATGTGGTTGAGACAAACATTTGACAAATATGATTTATCAATATCTAGTTATGATTTTATTGTTTTTATTTCTACATAAATTGATTATATATATCATCTATGATGGCTGTGCAATAAATCCTTAGATTTGTAATAAGTATTTTGAAATATCATTGCATGTTATCTTAGATGAAAAGTTTTTCAATGTTTGTGTAATTTGCCCCAAAAAGGGTGGATAGTTAAAGTTATTAATTGACCCTTAAAACTTCACAAGATTTTTCAATCTTTACAAAATTATGTGAACACTGTTGACAAATGAATAGAATAATATGCAGTCTCGTCACTTATGTGCAGAAATGTAGTTTGTGCTGTCATCAACTAAAACAGATATCTCAAACATAGTTTTGTTGGTAACATTTATTAGGAGCAACAGCTTGACATAAAAAGATATTTTACTTACATCAATATCCTTGTATAACTGGTCTTATAGAAAAATATCTTTCTGAGTAAGGTTTTTGCTACTATCTAATATACAAACAAGATCTCAGAAATAAGGTTATTTGACAGTTTTTGCATAAAGGATCAATGAAAATGTATACAAAAAGATATTAAAATATTCAAAGTAGATACTACTATATACATACTTCATTTAATAAACAGTCTGTTAGTCTTTCCTTCATTAAAGCCTTGGCCCAATTATATTTTGAATGTTTCTCTAAACATTGAATTATATTTCCTGCTGTAATAGGTTTGAATTTCTTCATGTATCTGTAAAAATACTCAAAATGGATGAATCTGAAGCACACTGTATAACATTTCCTGGTATTCAAGTATTTCATTTACAACTCTCCTTACATCTTCGCTAGCATTGTAATCACAAATGTTGGCTTAATCTGCCATGGGTGGAGAGGAGGGGACTGGATCGTAACCCTTGGCTAGCGAAGATGCTTTCCTTATTAATCAAAAATGTTGAAAACAATAGTAGCCCAGCTCAAATTTTAGAATTAGTCCATTTCTAAACTCTGTTTTAGATACATGTACAGAAAAATATGGATATTCTTTGTTCTAAATTCAGACAGATAATGTATTTTGACAAATTGTGTATGAATGTTATTTGCTCACATTGATTATGTTATGATAATGACCTTTCAAGAATGATTACCCCTTAAATATGAACACTGACCAACAACCAACACATTTTTTAATATAAAAAAAAATCACCGGACAGAAAATTGAACATACATGTATTAATGGGTTAGACACTCATAACAATCAAGCGGATTATGTTGGGAAACATATTTCAAGGCTTTCAAGTTGAACTTATTCTAATATACCACATCTGAAGTTAACTTTTAACTATAAAAATTACAATGAACTGTTGGGTAATGAACAACCAAAATAAGAAAGTATCCAGAATTATACTTTAAAGCTAGAAATTGCAAAGTTATCATATGCAAAAATGCATATACACATGTAGTACTTATTAAATTAACAATTCAAAGTAATCAAAGATTAATTCTTTTAAATTTGGAAAAACTTTTGTTTTTTTTTATAATGAAAATTGACAATTTCATCAAACTTCTAAGCTTATAAAGGAAAGGACAGACTATTTACATTTATAGTTCTTTTCTGATCTTTTGGTAAATACATCTATATGCATAGCATGTCACTTTTAGAAATATTGATAATTATCTGAAACAACAAGCATTCTGAGAGTATTGCATGGCAATATATAGTCCCCTACCAGTTAAAAATTCATTGTAATGGAAAGAAATTCTAACTTGATCTATATCTTGTCATGGTGTATTTAACTACATAAAAACATCAAGTCAATATCTTCAATCATGACGAAAAAAACTGTCCAAAGACCATAACTCTGCACAAAATCACCAGACCGGAACAAAATTCGAACTTGATCTGTAACTTGTCATGATTAAACTATATACTAATTATCAAATCATTATCTTCAAGAATGACAAAAAAAAAGTGTGGAAAACTGATTATTCAAGTGAATTTACATATGACCTGGGCGATGATATTCGTTAAATTTATCCCTCGCTAACACTCAGGATAAATTTAGATATCATGGCCGAGGCCATGTGTAAATTTCCAACAAATCTATGGCTTCCATGAATTATTTCTTAAATGAAATATATCCTTTATCAAAAATAGATTATTATCTAAATAAAAGAGTTCACTTCATCCAAACAAATTTTTAATATATAGCATTCAGAAAATTAGTTTTTACAGAATCAATAACAAACAAACCTACCACTAAATTCTTCAAACAATTTACCAAAGAAAAGGGAACAAATCCAAAATGTCATTTATCATTACATTTGTAATAAAAATATCTTTTAAAGATCTTTTAAAATATGAGTTATTTCCCTTTGAACAGAAATCTAGTAATTGATAAGTATTTTGTCAAAAATTTAATTCTAGGGAAAGGGCTTTTACTGAACAAGGAGAAAAGCTAAAATCGTGAAAATTGAACTTGGCCTGTAACTTGTCATGATAAAACAATACACCAAATATCAAATCAATATCTTCAAGCATGAAGAAAAAAAGTCTGGAAAACTGATTTGCCGGACTGACAGATGGACAGACAGACAGACAGACAGACGGACAGAGTGCAAACCTAAAGTCCCCTTCGACTTCGTCGGTAGGGGACTAAAAACTGACATCAAATTACTAGCAACATTTTGTTCTACATATTCAAAATGTTGTATTTTATATGCTTTAAGGTGCAATAGCCAAAGGCTACAATCATAATAAAAAATCTGCTTTAATGTGCAATGTTTTGAAAATCACTAATATTTCATTAGCATTTACAATTTTGTCAATGATGCTCAATACTAAAACATTGTACTAAATATATGATCAAATACAGAAGGGGAAATCTCAAACAGAATACCAGATACAGCTATTTAAAATTAAACAGATATTTTTATTCAATGTTTTTACATGTGTGTGACTTATTTTAACAATAATAAGCTTTTCCCGTGTTAATTATATATATAAGTAAATATTCATAACTACTCTAAATATCAGCACAACAATGTTAAATCTGCAAATATATATATAAGACTAGAATTCATACCTGATAAGACCAGTTAAGAAATCAACAAATTTATTCATTTTTTCATCTACTAATATGCTTTTAATTTCTGTCATAGCTCCTGGCAGCCCTTTCTTCAACCGGTTATATTTCTTCTTCCATGGAACAAACTGGAAAGTACATCAATAGTTATATAGATCTTATTTTCAATTCCTAGTTAAATGTTGTATATAAATTGAAGTTCTAAACTCAAATGTTTTTGAGATTTGCCAATGTTCTCCAAAATCTTTATACATGTAAAAGCATACATTGTACTGAATATTGTAATCAGTTTATACAATGTATATATTTTTTTGACAAGGAAATTAGTTTTTTCTTATAAATACTGCAATAAACACTATGCAGTTTAGTCTGGTAATCATGGAAATATCCTGTCATAATTTAGTAGACCTTACATCAAATATACAGAAAACAGATTTAGAAGACTAAAGAAATACATTTGGTGTAACCACACTTAATAATCAAAACCGCTAGTACATGTATTACAAAGTACATTTTGTAATTACGAGTTTATTCAGAAATCCATTGTAAGACTTAGAGAGTAAGGTGATTTAATGTTCAATACAAAGTATTCAACAGTAACTTTTAATAAACAGCTGCGCCATGAGCACATGATACGCCCGTCACGTTTTCAAAGAAAGTTCAATAAGTTGAATAACTTCTCAATGTCATATCCAAAATTTATAAATAACTAAAGGGAGGTTATCTTAACAGATATAAATTAGTCACCAAAGTTTAATGAAAATTGCTCAAAGCACTTTAAGGATATTGTCCGAAAACTGGAAAATCCCCCTTTTTTTAATGAATAAAACCCCATAACTAGTAAACGTAAAATCTGAAATTTATAAAAAATGAAAGGGAGCTCACTTCAATAGATATAAACAATTCACCAAAGTTTCATGCAAATTGGTTAAAGCGTTTTTGAGTTAATATCCGACATGATGCGACGGACGGACAACAGTATACCATAATATGTCCCGTAAACGGGCGTATAAAAAAATAAAATACTAAAAAAAATTTCAACATGCCAAAGAGATGATAAATTCAACATGTTAACTACATTGTTGCAGGAACTTTTATATTTTTATACATGTATTTGCAAATAAAAAACATAATCAATCATTATTGTATATATACATGATATATGCATGCATATATGTGAACATGTAAAATAAATCATCAAAAATGTAAAGTGATGAATAACTTACTCTTTCTGAAGAAATTATGTGACTCCATCTCATACAGACTCTATTACTGTTTAGGCAAAGATCTAGCATAGGAAGCTGAGCAAAGATTATTTCTAAGAGTTCATCTGGTAAGCTGTCAAAGTAGTCAATTTGTGGTATTTCTTGTCCTGGTTGTGAGCTTAATGAAGACCCTAATAACCCATATTTTTCAGATGCCAAATCAACAACAGTACACAAAATGTCATCATCTTCAGAGCTGATATTACCAGGGCTAAATTTTGTACTTTGTTTTAATGCTATAACCCTTGAGTTTATCTTTTTAACACTGTTTCTTCTATTGCTTTTTGAGTTCAATTTCTTGCTCTTGTTCTGTGCAGTCTTGTTTGATTGATAATGTTTTTGTCCTTCAAACAGCTGTTTCACAGCTGAATTGTTTCCTATATCAACTTTACTTTTCTGTGACTTTTGTGAATTAGAAGGACTGTCATCACTTATATAAATATTTGAAGATCCCTGAAGTTTTTTTATTGGAGAATACATCTTAACAGGAGTACCATAACTGATTTGTTCAGATTTCTCAGGTGTTGAAACAGGACTGTCTGAAACAACAATATGTGAGCTCGTGACTTGTGCATCTGATTTATTAGAATCATTTCTTTTATTACAGGATGAAGATGCACCAAAGAAAGTTGTAATTGATTTCTGTCTTGAATCAATATTTACTGAAGTCTTGGACTTTTTCCTAGGAGAAACAGCTGCTGTAAAAGAAGTTGATGGTTTCATATCAAAATGGGATGAAAGATCTGGACTTTCATTGTGCAATTTTGCAGCTGATGTAAATCCACCAAAATGTCCAGATTTAAAACTTGATGTTAATCCACTTTTATATGACAAGTTATTAATCTCTCCACCAACATCGTTTGAATTGATTTTACATGTGTTAGGCCCAAAAGAATATTTTGCATTCTGAAGAGCAGTTGAATTTCTGTTTGTGTGATATCGTGGTGCTAAATGATGAAGATTGATATCTGTGTTTGGAAGTTGGCTGCCAGCTGGATTTGTTAAAATTTTCCCACCATGATCAGGAGAATCTGCAAATTTCTGGCACATGTCTGATGTCATATGGATTTTACGCCGCTTTGGTTGTGTGGGTACAAAATAGTCAAGAGAATCTTCATCTTCATTGATGCATTTAACAGAATTTATATTATTGATGGTGGTTCTAGGAGAGGTTTGATATTTACGTGTAGGTGAAAGAGTGGATACATTTTGTTTACTCTCTGAACTAGTAGTAATATTATGTTGGGGGGTCTCTGAATACTCGTTGTTTATGATTTTGTTGCTGTTATAGCCAATATATCCTTTATTACTCATATCTGGAATGTTACAGGTATTTGCCTAGGCAATGATAACGTTCAGCTTTCAATATTGCGTTTCAGTTTTCAATTTTGAAACGTCCACCATTTTTCCAGGTTGTACTAAAAACCAGTGCAATGTCGGAACTATTCCGGAAAAATACTTATCTGTCTCCACTGGCCTGGCATCCTGACCAAACCTCCTCTTCGCGTCAGTCTACCGTCGAGCAATGAGCCAGGATCCCAGACTAGTCTCACGGATAAAATATAGATCAAACTTTTGTCAAGCGACAAATTAGTCTCGGTAAAATGTGTCTGGATGGACACAAATTGCGAGTATAAAAAGTACATGGTTAAACAAATTACTCAGTGTATTTGGTTCAAGGTAAAAATGTACAGGTCCTAAATTTGACTAGGCCCCGGAAATCCATTGTTCTGAAGGAAAGTCATTAAAATTTAAACAATTGAGTCTTTCGTTTGGTATTGTTATGTTTAAATATTTTTTGGTTGGTGCACATTTATCTTTCAAACATATCCAAAATATGTTTATTCAGTTTTTTAAATAATTTCTTTATATGACTTATTTTCCTACCAAAATTGATAACAAGGAATTCATCATGTTTGTTGCTAGGAAACCCCAGTTTCATTAATTTACTACTAAAATATTCATTATAAAAGCTTTAAATAATACAAAGGTCACGGTGATTGAATATTGAAGTGTCATTAATTTGCACTGAGAATTGATAACTTGAACTTTTATTGTAACTAACGAATTTGAATGTTTCATTTTTCGTTATTTTGTGTATTAAAGTTTATAATTTCTTCATTTGCATATAGTTTTGAAATTAATTTTAAAAATCGCCCTGAATGTGCGAAATATTTGCCATTGAATGTTAGGCTAAACTGGGACATAATATATTAGTAAAACTATAGTCCAAGAGCTAAACAAACATTCAATTAAAGATATTCAGGTTAATAAATGAAGGCGTGAAGCCATGGACTTTTATTACTAATGAAACTTGGCTGATTTTTTTAAGTGTTTCCAGTTTTTGCTTCCAGTAGGTAAACAGGTTCTCGTATAATTGCTTTCCTAAGTCCCCATGTTCCGTGTTTTGCAAGAAAATGAAGTATTTGAACAAATTTCCTAGGAAAATAAGTGCCAGACTCATTTAACTAACTATGGACTCATATACCTAGGAAGAATTTCCATGGGACTTAATTTAACTGATAGAATTATGAACATATACTTACTTCTCTAAGAAGCGAAGTCCGTAGGATTCATTTAAATACCGGATCGAATTTACTGTTACATACTAACATCGAGGCAAGACTTTTTTTTTCTTTTTTTTTTTGCCCTGCGTTTTCAGTTTTTTTTCGCTATGTAACATGCGGCTATTTTTTTTTATTTGATGAAACTTCTGGGAATGAACCAACTGTGCTCCTCTTCTTGCCGACTTGTTCCTTTAATCATGAGTCTTCTTGTGAAGAATGAAAAGAAGCTAGCATTATCCTTTAACTTCACTTTCCGCTATATATATATAGACGATGTCCTCTCACTAATTAATTCAAAGTTTGGGATGACTTACATCTAGAAATTGACAATGAGGGTCGACCGAAAACAAAATTTTACGACAAAAGAGATGATTTAAGCTTCCCAATTGTGAACTTTTCATTTCTATGTAGCAACATTCCAGCAGCGCCTGCAAATGGAGTATATATCTCCCAGTTGATACGATATCCAAGGGCTCATAAATGTTTCCTATCATGATTTCCCTGATGAAGGGTAGCTGCTCGCAAGGAAGTTATTAACCCAAGAGTTCTAAGTGGTGAAGTTGAAAGCATCCCTTTGAAAATTTTACGAGTTGGTTGACTAGTACGGATTATCTGTTTCACAGATTACGACGGATATGTCCCAATCGTCGTAACCACAATCCCGCCTTCCTATCCATCGAATATGACCTACCAAATTAGACTTATCAACGTTTGTACTTACACGATCAACACTACGGGTGCCAGAGCAGGATTTGCTTACTCTCAGTCGGGAGCACCTGAGATCACCCCGGTTTTTGTACATCCCGCACAGCCATACGGACGCCCTACTATGGCAAGGGTTTACTGCCGGTCGGAAGAAGAACAAGAGTGACAATATTTCTATTTCCCAGTCACCTTTATGGGTGTATTAATCTTGAAACTAAGAAGGGAAATTCAAGCAGTTTGTACTATTAATCATCAAGTTAATTTTAAAGATATTTGGGTTTAGAACATCCTCTTGTCAAACACCTAATTGACTCTTAAATGGTTCAGTTTACAGGTTTTTTTCTAGTTTGACACACGTGTTGCTATTATAATACATGTTATTCAAAATTCTATAAAATAAACATTTATTTTGGAACAGTTTCGGTTGCTTAATTCCCGGTTTATCCAAAGCTTTGAGAAAATCTACAAAACATTTTGGATTATCTGTTGCCCAGTCTCTGAGAACTCCTTTTAGAATGGCTCTTTTATAAATTGATCTGGTATTATTATATTGTATTTTATATCAAATGTAAGAGGTGAGAATCTAACAAAGTTTGTTTGTTTGTTTGTTCAAATACTTGAGAACTACAAAATATTCTCTCCATTTCTTAGGGTAATACCCTGAGGATAGAACAGCATTAGATAATTTATGTAGACAGTTAAAGGGTAAAATAACAAAAATACTGAACTCCGATGAAAATTCAAAACGGAAAGTCCCTAATCAAATGACAAAAACAAAAGCTCAAACACATCAAACGAATGGATAACAACTGTCATAGTCCTGACTTAGTACAGGCATTAATTTTTCTTATGTAGAAAATGGGGGATTAAACCTGGTTTTATAGCTAGCTAAACCTCTCACTTGTATTACAGTCGCATACAATTCCATTATATTGACAATCTGTGTGAATAAAACAAACAGACATAATAGGTAAAAATGTCAAAAATAGGGGTTCAGCAGTCAACATTGTGTTATAATCTTAATCACTATAAAAACAAACAAATATGTCAACAAAGAAACACAAAAAGGCATATAGACTAAGCACATTAGCAAAAATGAAAGACAAGAATACAAAAATTTACCATAACACAATAACACAATGACGGGATGCATAAGTACCGAGCCACGTCAAATAGATAAATTACCAAACATAGATTTAACAGTAAAAGTAATATTCACTAAGATAAATAAATGAATACTATAACACTTTATTAAGATGATAAACAACGTCAGTACCTAGAATCAATATTTCAAGAACATCGTGTATTATTTGTGTTGATACGGAATATTTATCAACAATTAAGGTCTTGGTTCCTTCCGATGAACTTTTTTAGAAAAAGGAAGAGATGTTCTTTGACATACCCCTGGTTCACATCAACTTATAATTATTAATGACCCAGAAAATCATTTATTATAAACGGAAGCATCCGACATGTTTTTATACGACCGCAAAAATTAAGAATTTTTGGTCGTATATTGGTATCACGTTGTCGTCGTCAGCGTCGTCCGAAGACAGATGGTTTCCGGATAATAACTTTAGTATAAGTAAATAGAAATCAATAAAATTTTAACACAAGGTTTATAACCACTAAAGGAAGGTTGGGATTGGGTTATGGTCCCAACTGTTTAGAAAATAGGGCCAAAAAAAAGGGCCCAAATAAGCATTTTTGTAGTTACCAGACAATAACTTGTGTTAAGGTAGATGGGGTGTCTAAATTATAATCCATAGAATCTTTTAATAATTTGCCAAAACGTAGTTTATATCATGCTTTTTAAAAAAAAATAATAAAAAGAATGGGTCACGCGGCTTATTTTCACGCTACAGGTTGTGCAAAATTGACAGATTTTGTATAGATTATGCATGGAAAACCCAATTTTCTGCCATAAAACGAAAACTACACCATAGAATTTTGAGATAAAATATGAGAAGATAGCTCTAATAGTATTCTTTCAGATAAGAAAAAGAAAAAATAGGGTCACGGGACCCGTTTTCTTGTTACATAATAAATAGGTAAATTCTTAACACATTCTATTGTAAAAGTAACTTTATCTGAATTATCTCCCCTTACATTTGAGTTGCCTCCCCTTATGTGGCAAAGTTGGAAAAAATAGAATCAAACAAAAGTATTCTGTTTTTTTTTTGTAAAATACAACCATAAATATGATAAAATATGTTATTTTCTATATTGAAATGAAAATTCTTACACATGAGTTACCTACTACTCTAAAAATTTGCACCTTTTATTAAAGATCTAGACCGATTGTTTTCTGGTATTTCAAAATCCAAGATGGAAGAAGACACCCTATCTACCTTAAAGTGTATGAATCTCTCTGAAATTATACCACAAGTTTCCATACTACAAAGGGATGGTTAGGATTGACTTTGGGGGGTTATGGCTCAAACCATTAAGGAATTATGGGCAAAAAAGGGGAAAACAAGGGTTTTTCTGGGTAAAGGACAATTGACAATTTAAAAGTAGTGTAAGGGAGGTAATCCAAATCAATTTTAAAGAACAATGTTTGATTACCTCCCTTACACTGCTTGTAAATTATGTATTAAGAAATGATGATTGTCTTGGGGTGATTAGCTGTCAATTTATTTTTAGCAGTTACTATTAATTAATATTAATTTTAGCCATGACTATGTATGTCATTTTATATTTTAAGACTTTTATGATGTATTTAAATGGGTAATTATGGTTGCAAACTCCATTAGAAATTTGAATTGAGATACTGACCATATCTTGAGGGAAAGAATTTTTTTTTGGAATAAGGGAAAGGGGGAGGTGAAAAAAAATTGGAGGGGGGACTACAGTTATTCTGTGTCAGAAACCTATTATGTGTCAAAAATTTAATTACAATCCAAATTCAGACCTGTATCAAGCGTGAATATTGTGTCCATTTTGGCCCCAACTTTTCAGGGTTGGACATCTGCGGTCGTATCCAGCTGCGCCCCCCCTTTTTTAACGATCAATGCATTTGAATGGGGACATATAGTTGGAACCCCCCTTTTATAAATGGCTGGATCCGCCCCTGATCCTTCAAATAAAACACATAAAGATATGATATACGAGAATTACTGGCGAAGTGGGATCGTAATCCAAATTTTTATGGCTGCAAGGCGACGCAGGTAAAAAACGCAACATTTTTTGAAGTTCTGTCCCAAGTCGAGAAACTTCGCCAGTACAAATAATACGTTGTAGAAACGTTGAATATTAGTTATTTCTTAATGTTACTTGACTAACAGTCTTAAAACGTTCGAACAATGTTCCTCATTTTTTTTAGAAAATTTAATCTTTCCAAAAAATAAATAAATATTAAATTAATAGCAAAAAATGCAATTTCGTAAGATTTTTGCCATCATGCATATTAATCAAACCTTTATTTTGTTTAAGAGAGTCAATGCTGATAGTTTTTGAAACTCCTCGTAAACAACTTACAGGTAATTCATTAAAAAAATCTTTACAAAACAGAATAAAAACCATATAAATATGCATATCAAAATATTATTCCTAGCGCGGTTGTGTTTTTTATTATTATTTTGCGAGGAAAGGACA